ACATATTCTTTTAAGTACAAGTACACATTTAACATGTAGTAATTTATGTACCTGTAAAATGGCTTCTTGCCCAGTGTTTTGGAGGAATCTTTCTAAGCCATTCACATGCCTCCTTGTCATAGTTGCTAAATTCTTTCATGCAATGCTCAAATTCAGGTACAGTGGTTGCAGTTGCACATCTCCATAAATGATCCTTGTACTATTTCAATTTCCATTTCACTCTCATGTTCTGATGTATGTGCCTGAGACAATACCTGTGCTCAACACATGGGAATAGTTGGGCTATTGCTGGTATTAAACCCTAGAACAATAACAAAAATTAAGTATTTAGTTTATATAATAATAAGTAATTAATAATACAAGTTAGAAAGAGATACCTTTTGTCGATCTGTGATAAAAGTAAAGTTAGAGTTTGAACCAAGATCCAAGTCTTCTCCTAAACACTGCAAGAACCATACCCAACTACTTTTGTTCTCTGTCTCAACAATGGCATAAGCAAGGGGGTAAATACCATTGTTAGAGTCCAACCCAACTGCTGTTAGAACCTGCCCAGGAAATGGTCCTTTCATATGCGCACCATCGAAACCCAAAAGATCCCTGAGGCCAGCCTTAAAACCTTTTTTCAGGGGACCTAAGCAAATGTAGATTCTTTTAAACCTCCTCGTTGGGTTTGATGGGTTTTGTTCACTGTAAACATCAATCTTGACAGTTGTGTCAACATTGGTTGCTTGCAATTCAAGGACATAGTCCCTCAAGATCTCATATTGTTTCGTATAGTCACCCTCCACGGTCTTAGTAGCAATAGCCTTGGCCCTGAATACTTTGTCAATAGAAATACCTACCTCGAAGTCCTTTTGAAGTTGTTCCTGCAATGCTCGAAGAGGAATCCCTGGATTCGTGTCGATTTGGTCCATGATTCGCTTGGTATAAAAGTAGCAGTGCAAGCTCTAATCTTCCTACTTTGAAGGCAAGTATGGTTGTCATTTAATGTCCTTACAAACCAGGGAGATTCTGTGTTTGACCTAGAAGCATGAAGGAACCAACTACAGTTTACTTTTTCTGAATTTACCTCTTTGCCCTTGGTTTTATTTTGGGATTAAGGCCAACCACCCCACTTGCATTGATGACAGGGACTACACCTCTACACAATGCCCGAAGTCTAATCTTGTCATTCTTTTTATAATATAAATTCCTCCTAGTTTCTAGTGCGTGCATGTCAATTTTTTCTTTCAATTCTTTCTTTGATTTAAACTTTTGCCCAACATAAAAACTGGCCTTATGGACATTGCCAAGACTGCATCTTTTCTCCTTAGCTAGATTTTTAAGAACACATCTTCTTTTCCTTTCATCTTCTGACCCTTCATCTAAAGAATCCCATCTATCATTGTCAATGACTTCTATGTCCTCATGTTCATCATTTGTCCCAACCCCGTTATGAAACCCATCCATTTGAACACAACCATAATCCTTATCAAGATTGAGGTTAAAGTCAGTCATATCCACCTCCACTTCTGATACATTGTTTTCATCATCAACAAGTTCATCATATTGTTCTTCTGATTGTTGCCTAAGATCATCACTGTCAGCAGACTTTTCATGTTCAGACTGATGGTCTTCAACATTCTCATCTTCTGGTGGTTGATAATGTTCTCCATCAAAAGGATCAAAGTGATCATGAGAAAAGTTCTCATAATGAAATTCATCATAATCAAAGTTATCATGGTCACCACCTTGATCTTGTACCACATCATCCATGTTAGCATGCTCAACCTCTTGATCTTGAACCACATCATTCATGTTAGCATGCTCACCAGCTTGATCTTGTACCACATCATCTAATTTAGGATTCTCACCACCTTGATCTTGTACAACATCATCCAATTTAGCATGATCACCACCTTGATCTTCTACTACATCATCCAATTCAACTAAACAAAGCTTTTTGGCACAAGAACTTTGACCAACTATTGAGTTCACCCTTCCATTTCTTCTATACTGTGGTGAAACTTGTGTAGGGACTTTGTCAAAGAGTATCAAGGACATATACCCTGCCAACTGTGTTTGATCATTAGCTTCATCTATCATTGGGGTTTTATCCTTTGCTGGTACTTGAGGTACATTTGCTTCTTTTGGAAGATCACCATCACAGAGCTCCTTAATAATAACTTTTTGCTTTCCTTTTGGAGACATAAAATAGGTCAGCAAATTAGTTTTTCCATGTTCTGTATACACTTCAATGACCTTGTTATCTCCAATATACTGAGCCAAATTCAAGACATCATTATCATTCCCTAAAGCTCTGAGGCCAAAATCCAAGTCTTCATGAGGAATCCTAAAATGGTAATATATTACTGGGGGTACAAGTAACCTAGCTCTAGCATCATTGCGTCTAGTTCATGAACTGAGAACTCATCAATGTCTACTAAATCAATATATCGCACTTCACCTTTAACATATTTCGTGTTTGGAAGCTTCGTAAAATTTCCACCATGGTGTAGCTTTATGCTGAACATTGTTGGTACACGCTCTACAAGATACAAAAAACATTAAGTAAGAAATTATCAGATGTTTGTATTTTTGGCTCTGTTCTTCAAATCATCAAGAAACCTAACACAATTTCGTAAACAGAGGATAAGTGAAACTAACCATATTCATTTGTAATGTCATACGTCTCGCCTTTTGGCCTAATTGCCCACATTACGAACACCATTTACAGTTGAAGAGCAAAAACAAGTAAACACCTTGGACCAAATCTTGATTAGGGTTTTTGCGTTCAAAACGAATGACGAAGAAAATGGAAGTGGAAGAGATAACTAAATATTTTGTGATTTTGTGTGTAATATGGCGCTAAGACTGTAACAAGCGGGTTTATTTCATGAATTGTAAAAATGGTCCCTCAAGTAAAAAGACATTTATGCCCTCGTGTGCAATGCACGTGAGGGGTTTAACAGCCACAAACAAACGGCTGTTAACCCTAGGGACTTGTTCCACAAACAAACCTTTCAATAAGGACCAAAAATCCAATTTTTAAAAGGTTTGGACCATATCCACAAAAAATGTCAAACCACAGGGACCATTTTTGCATTTTTGTCTTTTAAAAAAGAACCGGCCGAATGGATCCTTTATTTTTATTTTTTTCTTTAGAGTAAATTACTAAAATCATCCCTGTGGTTTTGTCAAAATTGCACGTTTGGTCCTTAACTTTTTTTTTTTTGCACTCGGATTGTCCCTGTGGTTTGATTTTGTTGCGTTTTTCGTCCCTGTGGTTTGATTTTGTTTCATTTTTCGTCCCTTACATACATAAAGTTAGGGACCAAACATGTAACTTTTACGAAACCATGGGGATGAAAAACGCAACAAAATCAAACCACAGGGACGATCCGAGTGCAAAAAAAAAGTTAGGGACCAAACGTGCAATTTTGACCAAACCACAGGGACGATTTTAGTAATTTACTCTTTTCTTTATGTGTTGTGGAAGACTTTTCTCTAGAAACTGTAGACTTTTCTCTAGAAACTTAACAGGAAAGCATGCAAAGTTATGGCTTGAAATGACACATAAGGTTCGTGTGAAGACAACGATTTTGAAATGACACATAAGTGAAGAACTCCCATCTCCATTAAAGAAATCAAGCCAGTAACGACTAACATGGAAAACCTATTGAAGATCCAAGAAAGTTAGCAAAATCGTTGTCTGGCGGCGGAGAACCGACAGTTAGCGGTGGTAATCTTAGTGGTGATGAAAAGGGTGATGAAGGTGTTGAGGATGACAGTGGTGGTAGCTCACAACCAAGTGGACCCCTGACAAATCCAATCCATCCACAACATAATGGGTATGGATACCTACCCCCTCATTACCACACACAACCACATGCTACGGTGTGTTTAGTTAACACAACACAAAGCACCCTCCGAGAACTATACAATGTTGTATTATACACAACCACCACCGTAGTTGAATGCCTACTCACATTTCGGTTCCCATATGGTTTTGCCACAACATGTACAGTCATACTATGATTTGTATTCTCAACATCCATCAAATTCTTTGAGATGTTTAGTGATGAAAATCAAACGGGTATTTGGTGATTGTTGATTGAGTGAGATCTATAGTTTTTTGCAAACTCAAAGACCAATTTAACACTTTACTCTTTAATGGAATTAAAAAGAACAATAAAAAAAACTAAAGAAAAAGACCGACATGGTTAAATTTAGCAAAAGTAGTAGTCACAGGTTGTTTGATAATTGCTGAGTAAGAGACATATAAGAGGAGTCGAGAACAACGAATCAGGAGCTTCTAAGTGTGGTATCAAGAGTTTAAAACTGATTGAATTGTTAGGGGTTGGAAGAGAAAAAGGTTTTGAAATCAATAATTAGTTTGAATCTAATTGAAAGATCGTGTGATTATTTTCTGAATAGGATATTTCGACTTTATACATGAGTTACACGAAATCCAAAGTATGAGAATAATCCTTCAAGGGAGTTCCGTATCATTGCATTAATATGAGACCACAAACTAGGGTTTTATGGAATTCAAATTCTTATGATTACCAAATATAAAATCAAAAGTTGATTTGATCCTAACCCCACCTAGGTGCTGGCCTTGGACCCCAAGGAGACGACAACCCCCTTTACTCCTACCATTTAATCGAACCAAAATCAATCTCATTTTATACAAAGATGCAATCCACACCTCCTAACCAGTCTAAAAAATCAGGAGTTGAACTTTATTGTTAATTTGTGAATTAAATTACACTAAATGACGATATGAGAATAAAATCATCAACAAATATCAAACAATCCATTAAACTTTATTATTTACGGTTCATTTGTTTGAAAAATATACAGAGGTGTGATTGTAGTCTTCTAGAGCGCCGAGTCAATGGCTGCTGGAGCCAGTAGCTATCATACGTGTCGTTTCTAACATTTTCTGCGAAATTGTGTCTTCATTATCGAGAAATCGTGCATTTCCAACTCCGATTTGACATCACGTGGACCCTAAATATTTATTGAAATTTTAAAATCAACTGCATATCCACCTCCGATTTGACTGCATATCTGTGACTATACACAGGAAACATTCCAGCTTCTCAAATTCTCTCTAAATTTTCAAGATCTCTAACCATCTTATTTCCTATCGGTATGGATACTGGATCTTCCTCGTCCTTAGAGTTGCCACAGCAGTTCCGTCAGTTTACACTTTCTGAGATTCACTCAGCAACCCAAAACTTTGATGAGTCATTGGTAATCGGGCGTGGGGGTTTTGGCATGGTTTACAAAGGAACCATCACTGATGGGGCAACTGATTTGGTTGCGGCTATAAAGCGCCTGGATTCAACCTCTAATCAAGGAGCAGTTGAGTTCAGGGCTGAAGTTGAGATGCTTTCTAAGTTAAGGCACTGTCACTTGGTGTCTTTGATTGGTTATTGCAACGATGGGCAAGAGATGATTCTTGTTTACGAATATATGTCCCATGGAACCCTTGCAGACCATCTTCATAAATTTCAGAGTCCTTTAACTTGGGTGAGACGACTCAAAATATGTTTAGGGGCAGCCCGCGGGTTAGATCATCTTCACACAGGTGCGGGGATTAAGCATGGAGTTATACATCGCGATGTAAAAAGCTCAAATATATTGTTAGATGACAGCTGGGCTGCTAAGATTTCAGATTTTGGGTTGTCAAAACTTGGTCCAATTAATCAACCGTCCACTTATGTTAACACTTTTGTGAAAGGCACTTTTGGATACCTGGATCCAGTCTACTTTGCAACAGGCAGACTGACGAGAAAGTCTGATGTGTATGCGTTTGGGGTTGTATTATTTGAAGTCTTGAGTGGAAAACAAGCGGTCGATAGTAATCTTGATGAGGAGCATTGGGGTTTAGTAAATTGGGCCCAAGAAGCTCTGAAAGGAGGTAGGCTAAAGCAAATTGTTGATCATACCATAACAGACAGAATCTTGCCTAAATGTTTGAAGGAGTTTGGATGGCTTGCAAATAGGTGTTTGCATAACAATCCAAAGCAACGACCTACAATGTCTGATGTTGTAGTCTCTCTTGAATCTGTTTTATCTCAACAGGATAAACCCAATTACACATTGCACCCTCCAGGCATGAAAATATTTGGTAATAAGGTGCCAATGTTTCTGTCTTCATTCAGTGGGGATAAGTCAGGTAATTTGTTTTGTCCTGGTTTCTTTGGCTTGTATACACCTATTGCAAGAACATATTTATTATCAATTTGTTTTGGCGAGTAGGTGAGCATATACAAGTCTGATAACTTTGCAGTTGAACAGAAGATATTCCTTCATTGAGGATCAACAATACATAATTGAATAAATAAATAAAAAATTGCAAAACCTAGTGAAATTGAGGTAGCTTACATAATCGAATAAACAATTGTCACCATTCCCAAATGACATCCTTGTATTTCTTACTTTCAAATTTATATGGCTCAGTTGTTTTCAAAACGCAGAACATATACCTGTTCTATATATTCTATGATATCGTACAATCCTCTATTTTCTTATTCGTTTCTAACAGATTTTTCTTTGTAGTTGGGAGTAAAAGATCTTTGGAGTTATACTTTGACACTATTGGAGGTGAAAACAGAATATTACGCAGGTTTGACTTTCAAACTATTGTTGACGCAACTGAGAACTTCTCTGATAGTAATAGAATTTCAGGATGGGGCTGTGGTTCCGTGTACAAGGTATACATAGTCGTACATCTTCTTTAATTCCATTATTTCAAGGTTTCCAAAGATTGCTAAAACTCCAACTTGATTTCTCTTTTTCAGGGAAGGCTGCAAAATGGACAAGGAGTATCAATTGACAGATATAATTCTGATTCCAAGTACCAAGATTATAAAAATGAAGTGGCGTTGCTGGTAAAACTTGAGCATGAGAATTTGCTTAAGTTGCTTGGATATTCCATCAAAGGAACACAAGTATTCCTTGTCTATGAGTCTGCACTTTATGCAAGTCTAGAGTGCTTGATAAATGGTACGCTTCTTATTTTTGAAACATACATCACATGCTTATGCGTTATGCCACACCTTGGTTCAAAAGAGGGCAAAGTGCACCTATTAACCTTAATTTTTTCTAAACTTCAAAATATTCTCTCTCTATATATATGTCTTTGTAGACGTTAAATGTACTGTGTTGGACTGGAATAAGCGCAACAAAATAATACTAGGTGTTGCAAGTGTACTTCTGTACCTTCACCAGAATAATGTCATACACGGTAATCTCAATCCTGAAAACATTCTTTTAGATGAAATTTTACACCCCAAACTGTCAGATCTAGGTCGACAAACGGGATTGATTGCATCGAAGTGGATCACTAATACGGGACGTATGTAAGTACGCACATACCCTTTTATTAAAAAACTTCCATTATCGATCTCATGCTGCTGTCTTGAACTCCTTCAGATGTTCTGTTTCTTAGTGATCCCATTGGATCCAACAAAAAGGCAACTGCTATTTGGGATCACGATGGTGACTACTAGGGTCCTCGAATTATCTAAGAATATATTATTCAAAACTTACTTTCTTCTTGTTTTTCAACAACAAAGGTTGTGAAATCAATTTGCTTTTTGGTTGCAAGGTAGTGTTTAGACCTAATGTCACAGTTGTGGTTAAGACCACATGGTCACTTGGGTCACTCAGTATTAGTAAAGCTAAAGCATCGGAAATGCTTTAAATCATCATATATTCTTCCACAATTGAAAATTGTTTTCAACTCTGTTACGGTTCATATTAAGTCCGCAAGTATTTTAAGCTCGAGGCATAGCTGTAAGAAAGTGAATATTAGAAAAATATATGTATGATATCACTTGGTAATTATAAACTTTGAAAAATTTTGTAGACTGTTAACTTCCCCAAGATGGTAAAATATTGCATTTGTTATAGGACAACCAGAGAGAGTCCCTATGTTTTGGGGCAAGCAACTCCTTGTAGTTTTAGGAGAAAAGTTTCCCAGATACATTAATTTATCTTTGCAATGTATATTTTCTACTCAAAGCTCCCGTAATTTGTAGTTATGGTCCAAGCTATGTCACTGCTATGTCACTGCTATGTGTGACAGGGGATATATTGCACCAGAAGTACATCAGACTGGTCGTCTGTCAACTAAGGCTGATGTGTATAGTTTTGGTGTGTTGATTTTGGTAACCGTGACTGGGTATACAATACACAATCCCAGAGGCAACATGACCTTTGAAAGATATGTATATGTAAGTATGAATGTATGATTATGGATGATCAGATCCTATATAATCCAAAGTACATATATTGATGTTTTAAGATTGACCTAAGCATGCAATTTGACATGAATTTTCATATCAATTTATTGTCAATCTTTTTCAACTTGTACTTGCTTTTCTATGCCCAATTTTTCACAATGTTTGAATCATAGAAAAGATGCTTGGTTTTTCATTTTCTTCACATTTTGTGGGTCTTAATTATGTGATGTGAGTGAGAAATGTTATATGTTGTGTCTCTTATGTATTCAACGTGAACTTTAAACAATCCACATTTAATGAATGACTAATAGAGGACCATGATCAAAATGATTGGCAAACTTATGTATATAGAAAATGTCAAGACACACATCTTTTGGTGCAATGGTTTTGATATAATCATAGATATGTGGAATTGTTGTAGGCTTGGACAAATTGGTTGGAAGGACCATCTTCAGATATAATTGATCCTAGAATTCATGTTGACTCAAGCACCATTACAAGAGTCATCCACATTGGGTGGTTGTGTGTTCAAGAAGATCCAACTAATAGACCAACAATGGAGGAAGTTGTTGGCATGCTCACTAACACTTTATCTCTCGCTCTTCCTAAACCAAAAATATATATGATACCATGGCTGATAAAAAAGTATTCAAATTATACAGATGCCTTTAAGGAATTATTACCAACCAATGACTATGATTCTGGGGCAGATGAGGACTTCATATCTGAGTTATGCCCTCGATAGTGTCTAGCAGGTATATATATAACTCTCAAATCTCCTTACTAAAACCAATGCTACAGGTTTTCTTTAAGCTCCTCATTAGATGCTAAAGAAACCGGATTTTGTATTATAAGTCTCTTATTATTTTATTTTTTTGTAGGTTAAGTGAAAGCCCTATTTGATCTTTAATAGTAAAGATACCATGGATAAAATAATAAAGATCAAACTTAAAAACTCAATCCACACAAAGCATACACACAATAGTTTTCAAATCAGAAGTCTTCTGAAAAACAAACAGCTGCAAAAGGTTAAGTGTTGCGCACATGCTGGGCAGTACAACAATAAGTGGTCTTCTGAAAAACAAACAGCTGCAAAAGGTTAAGTGTTGCGCACATGCTGGGCAGTACAACAATAAGTGGTTAGAAGTTTTTTTTTAGAAAAAAACAAACACCTAAGATAACGTGGATCTACAAGGGCATGTGAGGCTGCATCGTGATGCAAGGTTTCAAATTCTATGTTTTTATTTAACTTGTTATATAAATGAATACATACTATGTTCAATTTAAGTTGTTATATGATATTGTGATTAAATATTATGTTCATTTTAAGTTATAATTTTAGTATGTTAGCATTTAAGGTTTATGTTCAATATCCGTAGGGTTTAGGTTAGGCAAAGGGCCCATTATATATCATTATTTATATTAGGTTTAACAATCATTATTAATCAATCAATCTATTACATAACATGGTATAGGTCAAAACTCTATTGTTGACCACAACCCACAACCCACAACCGTTCCCCTCCACCTTTGACAACATTCTCTCATAGTTGTCGGAGGTGCTTCCATTATTCTCTATAGAGTAAATTACTAAAATTGTCCCTTTAGTTTGGTCAAAATTACACATTTGGTCCCTGACTTTTTTTTGCACTCGGATCGTATCTATGGTTTGATTTTATTGCATTTTTCGTTCCTATGGTTTGATTAAAATTGCACGTTTGGTCCCTAACTTTATGTATGTAAGGGATGAAAACAACAATAAAATCAAACCACCGGGACGATCCGAGTGCAAAAAAAGTTAGGGACCAAACGTTAAATTTTGACCAAACCATAGGGATGATTTCAGTAATTTACTCTTCTCTATATTTTCCCTTTATTTTTTCCTCCTAAGTAATAAAACAACCTCCAACACCAAACCAGAACTCTTTCCTCGACTTCTTCCACTGCCTTGTTTGATTATGCCTCGTCCTCAGATGGTCCTTGCCTCTAAGCCTTCCATCTTCTTCTTATCTCGCCTCTTCTTCAAATCTATTTTCCGAGTCTTCGTTCTCCACAACTTGGGCCCTCTTTTTTTCTTGTTGCTTTTCTCTGGACTCCTCTCTCACCAGCTCCATGATTGTCTCCGTCACCACTCCTCTCTTATAGAAAGGAACCGTTGTTGGTCGCCGCTTCTTCTCTCTCCTTATCTGATGAGCAATTGTTGTTAGTCGCCATCTGATACATTCCAAAAATCATAAAAAAAAATAAAAATTTCAAAGACAGCCCATTTCAATAACAAAAATGTTTACAAAACCATTGTTTTAAAAGTTAATCAAAATTAGAGTTTTGCCCAAGATCCAATATCATGAAATCAGGAAGATGTGCACGATCACGCATTCGCTTTCCCACGATCATCTGAACTACCTGAAACAATAAACTAAAACTGTAAGTCAAAGCTTAGTGAGTTCTCCTAAAGTACCAACACACAAACATATAATAGCATGCATACTGGGTCCACATATAACAGACTGGATTGCCCCTGATCCTACAACTTGAGTCTGGCTTGCCTTTCAGGTATACAACTCAAGTCTAGCTTGCTCCCGAGCCACATCATATGTTTGGTTTGCCCTCAAGGCCTACAAATTTGTATGGCTTGCTCCTAGGTTTGTTGGCTTCCACACAAAGCAGTAATACCTCAACCCAACCATACTATATTGACATGTACTTGATAGATAAACATATAACCGACAAATATGTAATCATACAGCCAATCAATAGACTTACAGGCAGTTCTACAGTTTAATATCGCATAGCAACATCCTAAACATGGATACGTAATCCACTAGGCCGGTATTGGTGCCTTCGACCCCCAAGTTGTAACATCCTAAAAATATAGATAAAATTGTTGTTTTTAAAATCATCCAAAACATATGATACGCATATCAAATTAGTCAAAAGTGTTTCATAGCAACATATCATTAGAGTAAAAATTCCAAAAATCTCAAAATACAAAAATCATAGGGTGATGCGGTGTGATCAAGTCGGGCCCTTCCCCTTCGAATTAGAAGTACCTTAAACATAAACTGAAATCCGTAAGCATAAAGCTTAGTGATTTCCCCCAAAATACCACATACCATACAACATACAACCAAGCATATATGGGTGCTACAACCGCTTCACTCTATTTCAACCGGATACTGTCCAGCATATCTAGGTGATTACAATCTCCTTCGGTCTATTTCAACCCGATATTGTCAAGCATATTTGGGTGCTTGCGATCCCTTTCGACCTATTTCAACCGGTTACAGGGTCTATTTCACCCCTATCTTTACCACATAAATATAATAACTAGATAATCACAGAACATCAAACACATACATGCATTCCGAACAATTATTGTAACACCGCGTTCGGGAAATGGGTTTCATCCGAGAAGGTTTCGGGCTGGTGTATGTTGTTAGAAGCATTGGGCTTCTCGTCACCCTCGTATGAATGTAAAGTTATTTGGGAGCGGGTTTAGAGTAGAGGAGTTGTGGCGTTTGGAAGAGGATTAGTGTTTATAGCTCTTTGTGGAATAAGTGGAAAAGGTCCCATGCATGCATGGCATGCATGCATTTTGAAGTTTGGCTGGGTACACCCAACGTAAGCTGGACTTACGCCCAGCGTAAAGGGAGGAAAGATGGCGGGGTGGCCGGGTGAGTACGCCCAGCGTACTCTCAGAAACTCCAAACCCTATTTTAGGGTCAGCCACTATATAAGGAACATGTTGGTTCATACCCTAGCCTCCTTAAGCTCATCTTTAACCTCAGAAACCCTAGAAACTCGTATTCCCTCCATTGCTGGGTGTGTTTGACCTTGGAAAGCTCATTTTAACAAAAGAAATGCTAGAAGGAGAAAGGAGAAGTTGTCAAGGAAGAAGAGGAACAATTGGAGCTTGTAGATCTGAAGAGATACCATCCTTTGGAGCTTGTTTGAGGTATAAAGCTTCTTGCTTGCCATCTATTTTGCATAGATCTAAGTGTTGTGGGGTTTTTAGCATCTTTCTTGTCCCAAAGTTCTCATCTTGATTCATGCTTTGTGTTGGCCGAGATTATCTATCCTTTCAGACCTTTGGAGAGGTCTTGAGTGAGAAAAATGAGGTCCCAAGGGCTGTAGTTGTTCCATGTGTGAGAAACATAGTCTTAATGGATTAAGACCTTGGATTAAGAGCTTTATGGACGTCCCAAGTGATAAAGTTTGAGACTTTATGAGTTCTAATCATATTTGGCCTAAGGATCTGAAGTTTGGGCTTAAGAGCTTAAACCATTAAGTCATTATGTGGAATTGTTGAGCATCAGGGTTACGCCCCGTGTAACCTTCGAGTACGCCCCGGGTAGCGAGCCAGAGCCCCGATTCCCTTTGCGAATCAATGTTGTACGCCCCGCGTACCAAGGAGGGTACGCCCAGCATACTCCCCCTGTTGGACTTTCATATTGGGCCTTAGAGTTTGGGCTGTTTTTTGGGTTGTTGGTTTATGGGCCATGACTGGGAATTTATGGATAGAGTATTTTGGGCCCAATTATTGTTATGGACATTGGATCTAGGCCCATTTGGTGAGGTGGGCTCAATTTGGTAAATTGGGCCAATATTGGACTTTGTATGAGATTTGGACTTTGGTCTTGGCCCGATAAGTGGATGTATGATTGGCCTAATGTTTATTTTGTTATGATGGTTAGTTCGGGATTGGCGGTGAGTTGGTGATTCGAGAGTCTGCTTCTTCAGTTCAGAGTATCGACATTCGCGAGGTGAGTTATCCTCACTATATCGACAGGGTCTAAGGCACCAAGGTCGGCCCTTTATCGGATTGAGATTCGGATATTTGTTGTTATATTATTGCTTTGATATGTCTACATCCTGGTAGCTAGGATGGTATATGTTAGAGACCTGGTTAAGGTCGGTTTCCTGATATGTAGGGTGATGCTATGCTAGTGACCGGTTAGGTCGGTATCCTGGTTAAGGTAATGATATGTTATGTGATCTGCTTGATCGGCTTGTTGACTATGAACTGTTATATGATTGTATGTTATGTGCACATGGTTGTTTGGACTGGAGTTGGGTTGAGGCGGGTCCTGCTTTGTGTTGTAGGCCAAGATACCCAGGGCGGACCGGTTGTTCCGAAGGCCCAGAGAGCGGTCCGGATAGGCTGTAGGCCCCACGAGGGCGGACCAGATGTGCCGAGGCTCAGAGAGTGGACCAGGCCGACTGAAGGCCCGATGCGGGCGGACCAGTCATACTGTAGACTCAGAGAGTGGACCAGGTGGGTTGAAGGCCCGGTGCGGGCGGACCAACCACACTGCAGACTCGAAGGACATGGCTAGACTCGGAGGATGGACCCGGTGGACTGAAGGCTCGATACGGCGGACCAGTCACATAATAGACCCGATATGCATGGCTGTTCTATGTTCTGTTATGTTATGTATGTTATTTATGTTATGGGCTGGAAGACACTATGTTATAGGACGGAAGGCAATATGTTTTGGACCGGAAGGTCGTATATGGGGTTGGTATTTTGGGGGTATCTCACTAATCTTTCGGGCTTACAGTTGTGGTTTAAATGTTTTTCAGGTTCTTTAGGAGACCGTGGCAAGGCGAAGACGTGATCGTACCGCTCCTCGTGTTTATGTTTATGACATGGTTACTGGGAATACTCTGATATTAAATGTATTGAAAACCTTTTTGTAATAACATTATTAAAATGGGTTGTTTTTGAAAAGTTTAAATTTTATTGAAATTTTTGGTCGTTACAATTATCACAAAGACAATCATCTTATTATAAGCATAATGAAACATCCCACAAATACGGTCCAAAAATTTCATTTTAAGTCATAAATAAAACCATAGTTAATAATTCATCACATAAAAACCATAAATCATGTATCTCAAAATACCATAAACATCTTCCAAATGTATTAGAGTATAAACATCCCAGGCTAAAACAATTGGTGTGTGCAATGTTGTCGTCCCGAGCTCTTCCTTCCACCACTGGAAGTACCTGAAACCAAAATTGAAAAACCGTAAGTACGAAGCTTAGTGAGCTCCCCAAACTACCAAATACCATACATATAATCACATATATTGGGCCCTTATCCCTTCCTAGGTCCCCGACCGACATAGGCTCGCGCCTGGCATCGAGCCCCACTCGGTATACAGATCTGTTTCTCCTAGGCCCCGCCTTTCTCTGGGCCTCGCCCGCTGTACTCTACAAACAATATCATATAATCATACTAGCTCATACACAAAACTATATGCTCCAGTCCTAAGGCCTCGCCTATCATGGGCCTCGCCCCTACTCTGCTAATGTTGAGATATGGAACCCCATCCATACTCAGCTAGTGATGAGATACGGGCCCTTACCCACACTCACATCCCTACCAGGCACATACAGGTATCACACAAACAACCAATATAATCTAACATACAAACATTCCTCTGGCACCGCCTGCCATCGAACCGTAATCCAAAACATACAACTACTGACACATTCAAGAATCACAAAGATCTTGAAGGGTTTTGAGCATTCTAACACTTCTAAGGTGTATATGCAACCCTAGAAACCTTGGATCTATGTTTTACTAAGATACATACAAATTTTATTTTCCAAGGTTCTTAACCTAACTAGCATGACATGGGGAACTTTGAACCATAAAAGCTAGTAGAAGAACATACCTTTCTTGTTGCTTGGATTCCTTGAGAACCTTATAATCCTAGCACCTCAAATGTGATGCCTCAAGTGTTTCACACAACACCACAACTCCTGGAATAACTTTGAGAGAACTGCACTATCACTCAAAATCGGCTAACCTTCTTGTTCTACACATAGTGCCGATTTTGGTAGCCCATGGGGTCCTTTTATAGTTGTGTCACAAGTAGGGTTACAGCATGTAAACCCTAATTGATATGGCTTTTCATATTCCATGATCCATGGGTTTATAACCTCCATGAACTATCCATGGAGCACATTATGGGTTTTAGCCCAATTCAATAACCATGGATCATTAGCCCAATATAAAAGAATTGATGATTTACATAATCAACCCCATATATTTAATTAGTCTCCTTTTGATCACCAAATTAATTCTAAATTAATTCTTGATCAATACTAATTAAATAATATTATTAATATATTAGAACTTATAATATATTAATAAACCTTAAGTGTCATTTCTCTCATTTTGTCTATCCAAGTGTTGCAATGCCATGCCAACCGGGTCAAGTACATTTTAGAAATAGTTATGAACTTAGACACCTAATCCAATAGTCTCCCACTTGGATACGTCTAATAACTATAACTGCATGAATGACTTCAGGAACCGATCAACAATCGTAGCTCTTTCAAACTCTCGCAAAACTGAGATGATAATGATGCGCCATTTAAGATAAGTAATCATATAATCCTCTGTTCTAGATATCAGCCGGACAAATACATGAAACAATGTTGTATTTATTGTCCATCAGTTTGTTTCCCGATTTCCGATTTGTTTGACATAGAACTTAATCGAACGCATCAATTTAGTTCTGATCGAGCTCGTTACATAGGTCAACACAAAATCATCGAGGGGCCTAGATATCGCTTCTAATCCAAGAAGGAACAGATAAACTTCGACTCATATGCTTGTTCCACTACTTGTTGAATTATACACAAAGGCATGTTTTATAACATCGAGTTACCAATGCGTTTTTGTACAATCAATGTATAACCAACTCATAATCAACAACTCATATCTCTAGGTTTGAAGACTTATATGATATTACCGTCTCACGATTACTCAGGATAAATTCTATGAAGTGATACAAGTGAGTGTAGGTTGAATCCAATACTCAAAACTTATGAGTACTCATGAATGTTGTAGCAACTCTTGCTATGTCGAACGCCTTAGACATCTACAAGCCAACTTTATGACAATCTTGATTCATATCTACTTCCAACATATGACCGACTGTGGAGAATTTGAATAATATGATATATCATAACATAATTATTCTAGAAGTCAAAACATGCAAAATGAAATGATAGTAAACGATTGACAGAAGATATCAACATTTTACTTATAAATAAACAACAACCTTTATTTATCATCAAATGTCAATTACATTTTACAAATTTTAAAGCTATCTAATTTCTAAAACTAATATCATCCTTTAGCCCTATGCGCCTCACATGTTGAAGATGCTTAACCCTACCCAGTCCCTTCATGAGGGGATCTGCTGGGTTCTCATCCGACGATACCCTCTTTGCCACAAGGAGTCCTTCTTATATTCAATGTCTGGTGAAATGGTATTTTCTGTCGATGTGTAAGGATATTCCGTGATCCCTTGGTTCCTTGGCTAAGGCAGCTGCACTTTCACTATCACAGAAAATCTCCATAGGCTCCTTTATAGCTGGTACAACTCCAAGGTCTCCAATGAAGTTCTTTATCCATATAGCCTCCTTTGCTGCCTTCCTTTCTGCTATATACTCTGATCCGCAAGTTGAACTAGCCATTGTCTCCTACTTGGAACTTTTCCAAGTAATTGCTCTTCCGTTTAAGGTAAAGCCCCAGCGATAGCGGAAATTATCCCTATCAGTCTAGAAGCTAGCATCACTATACCCTACTACTCTCAAGTCATCACTCCCACCGAGGGTAAGGACCCAGTCCTTAGTCCTCCATAGGTACTTGAGAATGTTCTTTACCGTAGTCCAGTGAGCCTTGCCAGGGTTCCCCTAATATCTGTTGACCATGCTCAATACAAAGGCCACATCAGGACGAGTACAAGTCATAGCATACATAATTGAGCCTACAACGGAAGCATACAGTAATCGACTCATCTCAACTATCTCAGCCTCTGTACTCGGGCTCTGAGTCTTACTCAATCTTACATTACTCTGGATCGGTAACTCTTCTTTCTTGGAATTCTGCATGCTGAACCTGTTCAGCAAATTTCATTTTTTAAAATTAAAGTTATATATTTATATATGTAAAGTATTAAATATCATGTGTGTATATATATATATATATATATATATATATATATATATATATATATATATATATATATATATATATATATGATATTAAACTTCAATAAATACGTTTCTTCCTTTCTTATTTTAAAGTTATACATTAAAAAATATTTTATGTTTATACTTTAATTTAATGTTATTTTTTTTTAAATCAACCCGTGTGATACACGGGTTTCACACCTAGTGTATAATAATACACTAAACCTATAGTTCAACATAACTAATTAAACATTATAATAAAAAGTGTTAAGCACAATACAATATATATTTTCAGTTATATTAGAAGCAAATGTCAAGTACAATTACCAATTGTTCATATTAGAAACATAAAACAAATTTTCATGATTTCCGACCGGAGGATTATCCGGTAGATTGTTTTGGTTGAAAAAGAAAACCTGTCATTTGTACTTCAAGTAAGGCTTGCTTTCGTCGCATTTCCACATTTCCAACTCCTTTGCGCACCGCTTTCTATTTCATTACACAACATTTATACCTAAAAAATGGTAAGATAATCACATATAGTTAGTAAATTAGGGGTTTTTCGTAGCAAATCTCATAACTATTTTCTGTAAGAAATTTTGTAGCTATTTGTTCCATAGAAAATTGTTAGCTAATTCTTGTATAGAAAGATTCAACAAAATCAAATTTATTCGTAATAATATATAAAAGATGTATTAAAATAAATTTAAAAGTAACATCAAACTTTAGAAGATATATTACAAAGTGAATTAATAATCAAAACTGGATATTAGTTACAAATGATTATATTTGAATGCTTCTTATAAGTTTGATGATTAGTTGCATAAAAAAAAAACTTATCTAAATGTAAACAAAACAAATAAATATAATTACTCTTCTAAGTCATTTTTCCATTTTAATTTTCCATGTAGATGTCACATCTACGTCAAGTAAGTTGTAATCTAAGATCGTTATTATATGAGTAAGAACGCTTTTAATAAGTTCGTTTTTCAGTGATATAAAAAAAAATTGTTTAAATATAAACGTACTCTTCTCTTTTATATATACATTCCTATTACTAAGTGTACATTTGTATTTTAGTTGTTTAATATTTATTTTATTAAACTGAGGATCTTAGTAATTTATTGGGTTCGTATTTGATAAAACTAACTGGTATTAAATTTGAAAATTTTTGTTTAAAACCAAACAAAGTTTTCTGTAGCAACTCAAACTCAATCTCAATCTGTACCCCTCGTCTGCTGATTTGTACGATTATTAAAGAGATATGTACGAATGGAGCACGGTAGAAGACTGTACAAATATATTTGTTTCAATCATTTGTGCGAACATGGTGTACCTAAAAAGAATATATTGCTATGGAAGACGTGCAAAGCAGTCTGTAAACCCTTTTCTCTATCGGCGGCTATTACAATCCAAGGTCTTCCCAAGTACCAAGCGACGATGCTGAACTTTCAATTATTGAATTAAAAAAAAGTTAGTCAATGGAGGAATGACGTACATTTCTGGAAGGTACAACACCGAAATTAATTCTTAATTTGAGTAGAAATCTGGTGAGAAGCAATATGTATGACTAGGAATGTAAAAGGATGATGACCCTAACGCATATCTGTGACCAAGCACAAATTTTAGAATACCTTCCGATTAAAATACTAGTTCATATCTACCATCTTCTTTTCTACCGACATGGATGCTGAATCTTCCTCGTCCTTAGAGTTGCCACATCTGTGCCGTCAATTTACGATTTCTGAGATTCACTCAGCAACCCAAAACTTTGATAAGTCACTAGAAATCGGGCGAGGGGGGTTCGGCATAGTTTACAAAGGAACCATCACTAATGGGGTAACTCGTTTGGTTGCCGCCATTAAGCGTCTGGATTCAAAGTCTAATCAAGGAGCAGCAGAGTTCTGGAATGAAGTTCAAATGCTTTCTAAGTTAAGGCACTGTCACCTGGTCTCTTTGATTGGTTACTGCAATGAAATGCAAGAAATGATCCTTGTTTACGATTATATGCCCCCATGGAACCCTTGAAGATCATCTTCACAAATTTCAGAGTCCTTTACCTTGGGTCAGACGACTCAAAATATGTATAGGGGCAGCTCGGTGACTAGATTACCTTCACAATGGTACGGGCGTTAAGCATGGAGTTATACATCGCGATGTGAAAAGCTCAAATATATTGTTAGATGACAGCTGGGCTGCTAAGATTTCAGATTTTGGGTTGTCCAAACTAGGTCCCATAAATCAACCCTCCACTTATGTCAACACTTTTGTGAAAGGCACTTTTGGATACCTCGATCCAGACTACTTTGCAACTGGTAGGCTGACGAGAAAGTCTGATGTGTATGCGTTTGGGGTAGTATTATTTGAAGCCCTGAGTGGAAAACAAGCAGTGGACAAAAGTCTTGATGAGGAGCATTGGGGTTTAGTAAATTGGGCTCAAGAATCTATCAAAGAAGGTAGGCTAAAGCAAATCGTTGATTGGTATATAAGGGAGAGAATCTTGCCTAAATGTTTGAAGGAATTTGCAAAGCTTGCAGATCGATGTTTACATAGCAATCCAAAGCAACGACCTACAATGGCCGAGGTTGTGGTCTGTCTTGAGTCTGTATTAACCTTACAGGAAAAAGCCAATCACACATTGCAGCCTTCGGCTTTGAGAATATTTGGTAATAAGGTGCCAAAGCTTCTGTCTTGGTCCAATGGGGAAAAATCTGGTATTATGTTCTCTTCCGGTTTATTTGTTTTTTTCTCATGCATAATAAGCACACAAACTGATTTACATGCGGATGTTTCCATGTAGACATGCACTGGAAGAACATATATGTATGTAATGCAATTTGTGTTGATAAGTAGGCAACCATTGAGAAGTATAATGATGATAATTTGAATTGGCACATCATAACTTTGTATTTGAACAAAAAGATCTTTCCTTCTGTAGAGATCATTAATACATTATCATTTACATATCTGACCCCAAATTGTTGTGGAAAACCTACTAGAATTGAGCTAACTTATATTGTCACCAACCAAAATAGCATTCCCTAGATTTATCCTTGAAATGTTTTGATAATTTATTTTGGTGTTTTTGCCTCGTAAACATTTTTGCCAAACTTAAGTGCTTTAATGATCCAGAAAAAAAAGGGTAAAATGGTAAATATACCTTAGGTTTTCCCAGGTTGATAAAACCCTTATTTCTTTCATCCATTTCCACATGTCACGTCCCTCATCATTAGTGTCATAAGTGAAGTTAGATAATTCTTTATTTAGATACAACTTTATTTTTGTATTAACTTTGGGGATGCTGCATTTTATTGCATTAGATATGTGTTATGCCCTATTTGTGTACAAAACTTAGAACGTATATATACTTGTTCTATTGAATATTATATTCTATATATGATATCATACAATACTCGTACGTATCTTATTTGTTTCTAACAGATATCTATTTGTAGTTGGGAGTAAAACATCTTTGGAGTTATACTTTGATTCTATTGGAGGTGAAAACAGAATATTACGTAGGTTTGAGTTTGGAACTATCAATTCTGCAACTGAGAACTTCTCTGAGAATAATAAAAGTTCACAATGGGAGGATGGTTCCATGTACAGGGTATGCATAGTCATGTATCTTATCTATTTACATCATTTTCAAGTTTCCCAACAAGGACTGCTAAAAGCTCTAACTTGGTTTCTCTTTTCAGGGAAGTCTACAAAATGGACTGGAGGTATCAATTGCCAGACATAATTCTGAATCTGGATCCCAAGAGTATAAAAATGAAGCTGCGTTACTGGTAAAACTTGAGCATGAGAATTTGCTCAAGCTGCTTGGATATTGCATTGAAGAAACACAAGTATTCCTTGTCTATGAGTTTGCACTATGTAAAAGTCTAGATCACTTCCTATTTGGTATGAATTCTATTTTTGAAAAGTACATCTCATGCTTTTCTCACATCCTGGTTCAATTAAGGGTCTGTGATATAGTGTCTATGCCAAATAATCATCACTGTTAACATTATTTTACTAAAACTTCATATATATTGAAAATGATATTTTTCAATATTAGGATAAAACTTGACAAACCTATGCTCCATGATATGTCTGTAGATCGTGGATGTACTCTTTTGGACTGGAATAAGCGAGAAAAAGTAATATTGGCTGTTGCTAGGGTACTTGTATACCTTCACCAGCATGATGTCGTACACAGCAATGTCAAACCTCGAAACATTCTTTTAGATGAAAGTTTCCACCCTAAACTATCAGATTTTGGGGTTGCAAGATTTTTGCCTATAAAGGAGGTTGATTGCGTCCAAGTGGATGCAATACATCAGGCTAATCAGCTGTCAACTAAGGATGATGTGTATGGATTTGGTATGTTAATTTTGGAAATGATGATCGGGTATAATAAAGACTTTTTTGAAGGACTACAAACTGTAAGTATGACTATCGATCAGTGATCAGATTCTATGATGTTAAAATTGTTCTTCTACTATATGACTATATCATTTCATTTCTATATATATTTGACACACCATAACCAAAAGCAAAATTCAAGTTTTCTCTAACCTTTTCCACTTGTAACTAGTGATTCGATGTGATTACTGATCTTTGACAAAAAGTTCTAAATCATGGAAAAGCATTTTGTTTTTTTTTTTTTTTTTTCTTTTACGTTTTGTTGGTCTCAATTATGGTGCGAGATAGAACTGTCATATGATCGTGTTACTTTTTTAGGAAGAAATTTAAACAGGCTACATGTAATGAATGAAGCATAAAGTACATCAATCAAAATGATCAATTCCAAACTTATATAGAAAATGTCAAGACAAAATTCTTTTTGGTGCGATGGTGGGAGTATATATAACTATTGACATGTGAAATTGTTGTAGGCTTGGAGGGATTGGTGGTCAGGAAAAGATGGAAATATAATTGATCCTAGAATTCAAGCAAATTCAATCATTACAACAAGATGCATCCTCATTGGGCTGATGTGTATTTCAAGTGATGCAGCTGACAGACCAACAATGGAGGAAGTTGTTGCCATGCTGACCAACAGGAATCTCCCTATACCAAAACCATTTATGCCAACATGGATTACACAAAATGGGAGAGGTGCTGATAAAAAACTTTAATGACTTTTTGACAATTTAAGTTCACTCACAAGATAACCCACCAAGTTAAACAAAGCTAGTAGATAGAAACAACCACACAGTTTATAAAATAGTGTGTGGAGAAGGAATCAAGCAAAACAAATATAATATATGGTTGGGCTCTCCTCTTTGAGAGTTTAATCCACTTGGACGAATTTACAGTACCCTCTAGCCGGGTAACACACCGAGTGTGATTTCAAATTTTATAACTTTTTTGTCTCATCCAGATTTGAATGAAATCAGCCCAACAGTTTATATTTTATAAAAAATAAGCATTTGTTGTTAAATAAAGTGGGAACACTTGAGCAACTCTTTTTTGAAATTTCTTTTTCGAAATTTCTTAATATTTGATATGGAAGAAACCTTTAAAATGATTTTTTATTTAGAGAACATAAAGTTTTTCCTTTAGTTTTTATATTTTTGAAAGTAAAAGTGAAGTGCCTAGCTAAACAAGATTTTCAATCAAAAAATTCTTTCAACAAAAAATCATAACTTTAGATAAACGAGACACCTCTAAGAAATCTTTTAATTTTAACACAAACAAATTTAACCTCTTAATTAGTTTTTATAAAAACTTGATTTATATAAAAATAGCATGAGGCGCCATAAGAAACTTATAATTTGGGACTCTATCTAGATACAACTTTCGTTTGGTATGAACTTTAGGGATGTTTCATTTTCAAGCATTAGATATGCTTTTTTGTGTTACTTTCACATTCATATGATACAAAACTCAGAACATAGACTTGTTCTATTGAATATATTATACCATATTATACAATAAATCTATCTTATTTGCTTCTAACAGATTTTTATTTTTAGTTGGGATTACAAGATATTTGGAGGTATACTTTGATAGTATTGGAGGTGAAAACAGAATATTACACAGGTTTGAGTTCAGAATCATCAATGTTGCAACTGAGAACTTCTCTGAGAATAATAAAATTTCACGTTGGGGTTATCATGGTTTCACCGTCTACAAGGTATACGTAGTCATGTATCTTATCTAATCACATTATTTTTAGGTTTCCAAAGGCTGCTAAAAGCTACAACTTAGTTTATCTTTTTAGGGAACACTACAAAATGGACAAGATGTATCAATTGCCAGACATAATCCTAAATTTGGTTCCCAATACTATACAAATGAAGTGGCATTGCTGCTAAAACTTGAGCATGAGAATTTGCTCAAGTTGCTTGGATATTCCACTGGAGAACTAGAAGTATTCCTTGTCTATGAGTTTGCAGTGTGTGGAAGTCTAGATCACATGCTATTTGATATGAATTTTATTTTTTGAAACCTACAACGCATGCTTATATATCGGAGGGTAAATTGCACCCTCTTGAGAACTTGTGATCGAGTTTAAGAGCAAGCAATCAGTACCGTTGACCTTACGTTATATCTAAACTTCATATTTAAATGATAGATTTTAAGATTTAGATTAAACCTGACAAACATGTGCTCCATGATGTCTTTGTAGATCGTGGATGTACTCTTTTGGACTGGAATAAGCGAAAAAAAGTAATATTGGCTGTTGCTAGGGTACTTGTTTACCTTCACCAGCATGATGTCATACATGGTAATGTCAAACCTGCAAATATTCTTTTAGATGGAAATTTTAACCCCAAACTGTCGGATTTTTGGCATGATAATCGGCTGTCAACTAAGGATGATGTGCATGGATTTGGTGTGTTGATTTTGGAAACCATGACTGGGTATAATAGACACTATTTCACTGCACACCGAACTGTAAGTATGATCAGATTCGTCTATGATATTAGAATGGTGCTTCTACAATATCCTATATATTCTAAAAAAAACAGATACTGGTTGTTTAAGATCGACCCAAGCATATAATTTGACATAGATTTTCCTACCAAGTTTATTACCAACCTTTTTCCTCTAGTAACTTTTTTTTTTTAATGTGATTACTGATTTCTGACAAAAGGTTTAAATCATGGAAAAGCATTTTGGTTATTCTTTTTTCTTTTACGTTTTGTGGATCTCAATTATTTGGCGTAAGAGAGAAATGCTATATGATTTTATTATCTAGACAAGGAGAAATATGAACGGGCTACATGTAATGCATGACATACAAAGTACATGGATCAAAATAACTTATATGAAAAATGTCAAGACATACTTCTTTTTGGTGCAATGGTTGGAGTATAACTTTAGACATGTGCAGTTGTTGCAGGTTTGGAAAGATTGGTGGTTAGGAAAAGATCAAAATATGATTGATCGTAGAATTCATGCCGGTTTAAGAATCACAGCAAGATTCATCCTCATTGGGCTGCTGTGTATCTCAAATGATGCAGCTGACAGACCAACAATGGAGGAAGTTGTTGCCATGCTGACAAACAAGACTCTCCCTATACCAAAACTACCCATGCCAACATGGATTATAGATAATGATTCAGATGATACAGATGTTGCAGATGATACAACAGATGCCCTAGTGTCTCGCAGGTATTCGTATATAACACTCAATTCCCTTTATTAAAACAGTGCTGGAAGTTTCCTTCAAGCCCATCAATAGGTTCTCAGGACCAAATGTATTATAGGTCTGATATATTCTTTGTAGGTTTTAAGAATACCTATTTTATCTGTGATAATTAATATCATGGCTTATATAATGTTGAAATTTCTTATAATTGTGTTTGGCGCGCCACAGCTAGCTGATAAGCTAGCTTATTTTTCGAGTTTTTTTATGCTGTCGTATTTGGTAAGCCAAAAAGTAGCTTATAAGCTAGCTTTTTCAAAAGCTACTTAGACTAGCTTTTTAGGAGCTTTTTTAAAAATTACAAATACACCCTTTAATTAATTATAGAAACACATACTTTCACATGTCTTTTTATGTAATTTTATATATTTCAACTAGCTTTTCAGCTAGTTTTACCAAACGTCATTTTTTATCAGCTAGCTTTTCAGCTATCAACTAGCTTTTCAGCTATCAGTCAGCTTTTCAGCTAACAGCTAACTTTTCAGCTAGTACGCCAAACATAGCCTTGAGTTGTTCTTTATTTTTTGTTTGTTTTTTTGTTATATGATATGCGTTTTTGCAAACAAGTTGCATTTCTTAAAACACAAAACAAGTGTAAAAACCAACTGAAACATAGAGTGAGACACTTGATAAGTCCTGACCCTATTTGGTTTACCAAAGGAAGACATGCACAGTGCTACCAGACCCTAATCCAAGCACCAAGCACCTAATCAGCCTGACTCTCGAAAGCATGGGATTTGTTTGAATATTATTAGAATGTAAATATTGCATATATTAGTTTTAGGCATAGTTAGCCCATGGGCTCATAATGTTTCCTTTGTCTAGGGATCCTGCCTCTATATATAGTCTTGTACCGCCTCCTTGTAAAAGATATACAATCAATAAGGTATTTTTACCCTCAATCTATTATTGTTAACATGGTATCGGAGCGAGGTTTAGGGTGGGAGGGTTTTTTGTGTTAAGTACCAATCGGCAAATTACTGTTCACGGTTACTATTCATACTAATATTGTTCATGATACTATTCAGGGCCGGTCTATTTGTTTTCCATGCCCCGGACGAAAAATAGTTGATAGTGCCCCTATATATACACCATGCTCGTATACAACATAAATTTCTAGAACAAAAATACTAAGGTGTTGTTTGTTTTTTGGAAAAAACCTCTTCAAACCTCTTACTGCTGCGCGGCGCAGCACACGCGCAGCATTTTTCATCTCGCAGTTGTTTGTTTTTTAGAAGTCTTTTGAGTCAAAAACCTCTGCGCAGGCTCTGTTTGGCGCAGCACTTGTACTGCATCTTCTAACCTCCTCTTCTTTTTTTATTGCTGAAAATTTGATTATATGTTATTAAAATTTTATTTCACATTTTTTTTCCGTTTATTCTTATTGAATTTATTTTTCATTTTTTTATATTCAATAATGATAATTTCTTGATGAAATATCATTATTTTTTACTAAAATATCTTTATTTTTTGTTGAAATATCATTCTTTTTTACTGAAATATCATTAATTTTTACCGAAATGTTATACATTATTAAATTTTACGTATTAAAAAGCTATTTTCGGTTTATAAAATTAGTTTATTTTAATTTTTTAATATCTGCAGCAGTATGCAGATGTTAAAAAAACAAACACGTTTCTTATTATAGTCTGCAGCCGTTTGGTCCACCTCTTCTACTGCAGAGGGTTGCAGAGGTGGTCCGCAGACTTCATGAATTTTTGCTTCAGAAAATCAAACAACACCTAATACAATTTTTATTTAGAGGCATGTTTGATGTCTATAAATTAATACACAAAGAAAAAGTTTATCTATCAAGTCGATGATAAAGATAATTATAACTTATCATCGATTACCATCTTCGGGGACAAAATTGTTCAAACTTAGATCAAATCACCTCCTAACATAAGAGATCATCAAGATTACAAACAACATCCAAATCCACTTGAAATTTCAATTACCATCTTCGGGGACAAAATTGTCCAAACTTGGATCAAAAGTATGTTACACATCAACAGCTCAAGAGAAAATGCACAACCAAACTCAAATTAAGGGCAAAACCATCCAGTTTAGGCTCTATTTATAAAATGCAAAAATCATAAAATTTACAGGGATTCCTATTTCCACATTCCACAAACTAAGGCAAACCACACAAATCCATTTGACAAATATGCATTCAAAATTCTCGAAAGAAAAGAATCAAAACGCAAAGAATAAGATTTTGGTTACTATTTCGGATGCAGAATTTCAGATTTCAGAGTTTAGGAATTACAGATTTTGATTTAAACTTTAAATAATGAAAGAAAAAAAAGTAGATTTTTAAAAAAAAACTCACTGTTGCTTTGCAAGACTCAAGGCAATCGATTTCTTATTTAGGCTTGATTATTCCACATGATCGACTCTTCATTTTCTGATTTTTTTGGCATGATTGTTGAGCTGCGTTTTGCCGCCTTCTACTACCCTTCAATGCGCCGAATGCCTCATGCCCTAGAGTTGTAATTCGTCAACTATTATTAGGCATGGGATAAGTATTTGAGGATGTCAGAGTGAACGACGCGGGAATATCTATACAAGTTTGTTAAACTTGTGATTATCTTCTATCATAGTCGTTATTTATGCAAGGCTACAGTTAGCTACATCCAACAATTGTATACATCACATAAAAACAAACATGGTTTCTCTAGAATGTTTGGTAGTATTGATTATGTGCATCAGGGGTGGTCAATGTGTCATAAAGCATGGCATGGTCAATTTATGAGAGGTGATCAAAAGCAGCCGGCAATAATTTTAGAAGCAATGGTGTTTAATGATCTTAGGATATGGCATGCATTTTTTGGTCCATCGTGTGCCAACAACGACATCAATATTTTATACACAATCATCGATATTCAACGACATTATCCTTGGGAATTCGTATGAGGTGTTGTTTCAAGCAAATGGGACATCATACAAGCATTGTATCATCTTACTGATGGGACATATCCGAATTTAACTACATTTGTGAAATCATTCTCTTGTCCAAATGACGAAAAGCGATTAAAGTTTAAGTCGGCCCAAGAATCAGCTAGGAATGATGGTTGTATGCTGTTGTTGGATAAACTTGTAGCAGCTGCTCATATTGAGGAGAAGGTCTGGATGACATAAACAAGTGAAGGTTATGGGTATGTGCATGATTCAGCAATGGTGTGTATCAATCTAATGACACCTTAAGCGAAGACAAGAATCGGTCAAATGAATTGGAGCTTATCAAGCATTATTTTTTTAATTTCTTTTTATACCAATGGACCACATTTGTATAGAAGAATTTGTAATGTTAAAACTCTAAAAATGCAATGTTCGACTTTGGTGACTCTCCCATAACCTTACCCTGTGCTGCAAAATGAAGAAAACAATATGCAAAGAGAAGTTTTCCTCAAAATCATTCTATTTTGGTAGTGAAATAAATAAATAAATAATTGTAATAATTAAGAAAGAAGAAAACAACAATCATGATAGTAGCATAATTACATACTTAAGAATCTTCTGTTTCAGAATCTGACTCTGTATCTGACCAAAGTTCTACAGGTCTTCTGTTTGTATTGGCTTCCAGTGGGGGCAGCCCATCATCTTCACTAGACTCTAGCTCCTCACAATTTTCCTGTGTTATTGAAGGGTTTTTCTCCACTATGGCTGATTTAAAGATTTCTGGCCTGCATTAATAAAACAAATTGCAAATAAGTATTTTTTATATTGAAGAATTTGAGATCATTAATAAACAAACTAACCATTCTGGAGACTTTTGTAATGATCTAACTTGTTCATGGAAAAGAACTTGAAGAACAACACAAGCCACTTTTCTTCCAGACTCAACAGCCTCTTCTCTCCCACTATCATCAACCACCACAAAACTACCTGCAACATTTATTCATCATCTAATTCACCATTTATATGGGTTAAATGATAGAAATAGCAATCTGCTTTCATTGATTTGTCCACTACTGCATCTTCCTTTCACTTTTCAATTATTACAGCATTGTGTACTTTGAAATATCTACCCAATTATGGCAATGTCATCCATACACAAAGCAATTTTCAGTGCTATAATTTGGTAGATTTTTCAAAGTATAATGCAACTGAAAGTACATGAACTCACACCTCGTTTTATCCACATGCTTTTCTGAAATTTAGCTGGGAAAATCGCCAAAGCTTTGTCTCCTTTGGCATCAATTATCTGTACTTAAATCAATCAGTCATGTATCTAATCATACCGATAACAAGTGATAAGGATGTGGTGAATAACCTCAATTAGATTGGAGCCTCGAAGAGAAACAACTTGCATGATGCTTTGGCCTGGTTGAAGAGTTAATGTCTCATCATTAACAGCCCTCTTCAGATTTTTCCTTCCACCTTTTGTAGCCATTTTTCACTTTAATCACACTTGTAGATGATTATGGAGCTCTGTATCTAAAATCAACAAAATTAACACTTTAAATTGATTAAATGAACACATTACATCTACAACTACAGATCAGATCCATCCAAATAGATTTAGGGGAGAATACAGGGAAACTAGGAGAAAGTACTCACCGAGCTGGAAGAGGAAGCAGTTTTGAGTCGAACGAATTCAGGCCACAGGGGCTGTGCGATGGAAGGAAGAGCCGAAGGGAGGGGCTGCTGGGCAGTGGTGCCTGGTGGGGCAAAACGGCGATTATGATGACGGTCTGGTCACTGCCTCACTTGTGCCGACGTGCGGTGGTGGTTGTGGTCTTGTGGACGGAGGCGTCGCGAGAAGAAGTCTGATATCCCTTTATTTTCTTCTTCAGTTGCAAATGAATTAGCTTTAGGGTTTATGCAATTTCACCTATTCGTTTTATTTTTATTGTTTAAACTTTATTTAAATGTATTGTAATTTTTTTAAATAAATGGTAAATGGATCTTAATTTTAAGAGTTACTCGTAAAATGGCCATATTTTGAAAATTGTTCACATACCCACTGTGTCCCTGATACATATATTATCGAGGCATCCAATCAGATTAAACTTCTCTTCAAACCAAACTCTACCCTCTAAAACACTTTACACATGAAACTTAACAATGAAAATATATATGAAAGCTTGGAGAAAGCTACAACCGCTAAACAATGAAAATTTAAAACCATCACATGTATCGGAGTATTCGAATCGCAAAAATCAAAACTTACCTTATGGGAAGATTAAAGTCATGGTCATTGCCACTAAGTAGTGGAGGCTAGGAAGTGATCAATGGAAGAGCGGTGGCATGGAGCCATGCAGTTGGAGTTTGGAGCTTTATTGTTCTCGTTTTGTTGCTTTTATTCTTAGGCACAACGGTGATGTTTCTACTGCAATAGACGATAATGGGGGTAGGGATCTGTCTCATCGTGTTGTTGTGACGGCGAGGCTTCAACAGTTGTCAACAAAGAGTAAAAGCCAAAAGCAGGGAGAATTGAAGAGAAAGTTGCAGAGCATATATCAGGAGTAGGGCGGGTCAGGTACGTCTCATATTTACTGCCCCAACCCCGATAAGAATAATCGATAATCCCTCGATCCCTAACCCATTGGCGAAAAAACGTGTCCCCAACCATAAATTTTGGGTTTCGGGTTTCCCAGTCATGTTCAGATTTTTCTTTCATTCTTAAGTCTAAGTCCCTCACAAGACATATAATTCTATTTACGATACTAAAATCACCAACACACAAATGGCACGAGCACGATAGAAGTGACATTGACCCAACATTTTGTAACAATTTAAGAGAGTTCCAAACATTGAGATTAATATTAACTTTTTATCAAGTTATTATCTCATCAAATCAATATTTTTTTTTATTTAGTTGGTTCGGAAGATAATTTGTAATCAAGCATTTAGTAAGGTTACACTTTAGCAAACAATTTTATTTTGAATCACTGTTTTTATCATTCTATGGTTTTCTTCTCGTAGATCTACACTACCACATTAATATTTCAAACATGTTAAATATATGTTGGTGTAGTTAGGATTATATATCAATTAATTATATATGTTATTCTTTTGAATGTTAGTTTCTATTTTATGGTTTTGATCCTAATTGAATAAAGTGTATCATCATCTTTTCGTGTAGACATATAATACAACATTAATAGTAGAAATGCGTTAAATATGTGTTGGTGTAATTAGAATTATATTTTGGTTGATTGTTTATGTAATTCTTTTAAGTGTTAGATGATATTCCATTCTCCAGTGTTTTCAATACAATTAACTTTCCAATTCGTTGTTGGTTTGTTCACCCAGATCCGTGAATGCTTTGGCATATAAAATGTAACGCTCGATCATTTCCAAGGTATTTATATTAATTCGGGTTAATTATTTGTTATGTTTTGGACCTTGATCCATTGGGTCTTTCCTTATTGGGCTTAGGGTGCAGTACGCGGGGCGTACCACCCTATGTACATTGGGCGTATTGATGAGGATTGAACGTAGGTGCCATGCATGTACGCGTTGCGTACAAGGGAGTACGCGCAACGTACGTGGCCAGTTCCCAAAACCCTAATATTTAGGGTTTGAGAATTATTTAAAGAACATTATGACCTAAGAACTTCTTTACCGGCCTCCCTCTTGTCCCTAAATAGCCTCCACGAAACTCTAACCTCATTGTTGAGTGTTCTTGACCTTGAAAGTTCCTTTGAGTGCATTTTGGTGTGTTTTGTCTCATTTTCAAGTAAGAGAAGGTTGGAGCAAGGTGGTGGTTCAAGGATAAGCTTGTAGATTCGGGTTCTCTGCTTCATTTCTAGCTTCTGCAAGGTATAAAGTCTTGATATTGATCTTTAGAAGCTTAGATGTCCATGTTTTAGCTTTTGGACCCTTTTTGGTTCCATAGATGAGTTCTTATGGATTACTTATGTTTCTGAAGCTTAGAGTTGCTACTCTTGGTGTTCTTTGGGTCCTAGTGTCATAAAGTTGCAACGTTGGAAGCTTTAATCAAACCATGCATGAGTAATGGCCATTTTCATGGAAGTAGATTGTCATATTTCGCGTTTGGGCCCACTTGGAGCATGCAAAGCCACCAAGATGTCGACTGTATGGGTTAATAGGTCGTGTATGATTCAGATCTGTGTTTAGGACTTCTAGAATTAAGTGTTAAGGACTTAATGAAGAAAAGGCTTATTGGGTGAGTACGTTGGGCGTACAAGCTCGTATACGTAACGTACAAGCCATGCAGCGTGTACGCTTAGCGTACAGCCGAGTACGCCTCGCGTACTTTGACAGATGGGCTTGGCGTTGTTTGGGCCTCGGTTTGGGTCGTTTTCTTGGACCTTGTTGCTTTGGGTTGTAGTGGGCCATCTGAAATCAGGTTTTTGGACTATGGATATGATTGGGCTTTAGGGTAGGCCCGCTAGAGGTGTTTGGGCCTAATTTGGAAAATCGGGCCATTAGTGGGCTTTGGAAGATTATTTAGTGTTGGCCTTAGTGGTTTGTGGTTTTGGGCCTTAGTTGTGGATCAAGCTAGGCCAAGGATAAAATGGTTATTATATCCCAAGTATGGATTATTGGTTATAGTTTGGAACCCAAGTATTGATTGGGTGTTATTTTTTCCCTAATAGCTCGAGGAGTCGTCAGGGCAGTAGTTAGGGATTTCTTTCTGTGAGATTCAGCATTTGAGTTGAGTTTCCTCATTGGGCTTTAGTGGGTTAATGTCGATCCTTATTGGTCATGCTAGGATGCTAGGAGTATATGTGACCCTTGCATGTGTCATGTGTTGTTATGTATACCAGGCGACGCTCGATGTCAGGCACGGGGGAGTATGTGATTTATTATGTATGGTATGTGGTAGTTTGGGAAACTCACTAAACTTTGTGTTTACTGTTTTCAGTTTATGTTTCAGGTACTTCCGGTAGCAAAGAAAAAGCTCGGGTTGACTGCATCGCACACACCGTTGAGATTTCGCATATGATAATTTACTCTGATTTTTATGACATTTGATCTATTGGATATTTTTTAATGTATGAATGATATTTAGAAATATTATTTTATAGATTTTTAAAAAATGAAATTTTTTAGACCATATTTTGGGTTGTTACATCAAATCCCTAACAATTTATACTATGAAGCTTAAGAAGACATAATTATACCATGAAGCTTCAATCTTTCAAGTCACCAGCTTTTTGCAAAAAATCCTTAAATATTTTGCTCCTAACCTTTTTACCTCTTTTCCTCGTGAGTTAGAAGAGAAGAGAAAAAAAAACAATTAAATAAAACCCATTTTTCTCTCTACACTTCTTTTTTTCTTTTTATTTTTTGGAAAAAAAAAAAAAAGGAACAGATAAGTGACTCGATATGCCCAAACACCGGTTTTAAACCGATCTTGGTTTAAAAGGATAAAAATAAAAAGACATTTTTAAATTGGTTATAGAAAAATCAATTTTGGTTAATCGGGCTTGGGCTTAAGAGGGGTCCTAAGCCTGGCCTGAGAAAAGCCTGAAAACTGAAAAGGCCTGGTGTTTTAAAGTGTAAGCATCTCGTTTGGCCGGTTCTTTTAAGTTTTAACTTTTAAGCCTAAAATCTTGGTCTTAATGGTTAAAAGTAATCGGTCCTTTTTAGAAAGAAAATAATAATAATAATAATAATAATAATAATAACTAGATAAGAAAGATTCGACACTTATGTCAAAGAAAACCGATAGAAGACATTACGTTAAAGATGGTGTTATCGTTTATAAGTCGTTTGTCATGGAAGTAGGATGCTATAACTGGTTGACTATGAAAGTATGATGCTTAAAAAATGAAGTAGAAGCAAACTGAGATATATTCTCTTTTTAAAACACATATGTTGGGTACAAAATTAATTTAACCAAATAAAGTCTAAGGCAGCACCAGTCCAACTGCTTCCTCTGGTTGGTACTGCTCCAATTCCTCCTGCTTGACCTTTATTAGGTCTCCCTTGTAGCTTCAAAACCAATGGAATCTATAAATGAAGGAGAATGAGAAAAATATAAGAAAATGACCAATATACCCTTCAAAAAATTGGACTGCATAAAAATGTATTTCGTCGACCTCATTCTTTGTTATTACCTTCTATGTAGTCGGCCAGACCTGTTGATTGCTAGACGTGCTATGATGACTAAACTGGCTGCAACGGTTGAGAGCCAGAAGCATAATTGTTCATGGCCCAAGAGTGTGAGGACTGCAAAGTACTTGGCAGTTTTATATAAATCTTGATAAGCTTTTGCAGCTTTGAGATCCCTTTAAGTGCTGATTTTGTAACAGAAATTAAAAAAAAAAATTCGGTTAAATCTACAACTAAGAGAAGAGTCGATTAAGAACTCAAAATAGTTAAATAAAAAAATAATTAAAAAAAAAAACAACCTTCAGTAAATCTGTAAATAAGATCTTCAAATAAGGGAGATCAGAGCACATTTCAATTTACGAA